AATTCTATCGAGTTGTATTGGCTTGTATAGTTTCCTTCTAGGAGTAGGGATCGCTTCTAAATCTGCTTGAGAACAATCCAAGATTTTCTTTTCGATATTTATTGGATGTTTTGCCGATAGTTTCGCTAAACGGAATGCGTATTGTCTGATATTCGAATCTAATCGAACTTTTGGAGGATTCAAGGCTGCTTCCACTTCCATTGGAAGAATTGGAGCTGTTCTGAATACTCCCAGCAGAAATAGATTATATTACAGCTACTTTCTAGAATATCTTATAATACAAAGTAGGTTCACTATACCTATAGACGCTTTCCCAGTACACTATGATAGAGCCATTAGTACTAGACTCTTATAAAATCCTCTGATTACATTAAACTATCTCCAGCGTATTTACCTTTGGAAGTTCCGGTCAGGACTAAAACTATCGCTTCATGTCTCTACTTCTGTTTGCTCCATAAGCCTATCCAGTATCTCATTGCTATCTGCTTAATACTTTATTGTAGACTGATATACGTATCCATCCTCTTGGGCTATATAGATAGTATCATTATCGCTGCTATTATATACCACACTCCGCAATATATGATTACTGTTTCGTATTATCTTATCGGATCTCTCTTTCTCTATAAGGCTGATTGTGTTTAACAGGCTCTATTAGTATTATACCCTTAGCCAAGCAGTATAATACTAGTATTTCCAGCCTACTAATCAAAACAATATTTTCCGAATCCATCCTTTCAATGTATAATTTGTAATATAAATGAATCCCTTATATTCAGCAAGATCCGAATTGAGAAATAACATCTACTCGAGCTCATCCGCTGCCGTAATATCTGCCAAAGTTTGTAGTATTATATATATCAAAAGGCAGCCTTTATCGGAACTCATCTATCGCCGTGTTATCTAATCAATGCTTTTGTCAGAGTGAAGCTTGCAAAAAGTGTCCTGCTCATTCGAAGGTTCCTCCACCGCTATACTACGCTCCCATATACTTATAAAACAAAGTGCTAATATATCCCTTTATTCCTTTATATATATAATCCTTTTTCCTTCAATCAAATAAAGTGCTAAAAGTGTCCCTCTTTCCAAAAACCCAGAAATTACCCCACATGAAAAGTTTTCACTATCATTCCCCTCACCATTTATAAACTTCCATTGAGCGCTGATATATACATTATTGATATTGTGATTCGTATACTATTATCCCAGAGGTGTCCTGTCCATCTTTTACTATATATACTTCCTCTTTAGACTCTGTTTCCCATATAGATTTGTAAGGGCTGGTTCCGCTTTGGAGCTCATTAAATGCAAGACATCCATAGACTCTGCTTTCTATAATAGACTTGTAGAGGCCGGTATTGCTTTGGACTTTTTATATATATTTTCGATTGTCGGATGGTTTTCATAACTGTTTTGATAATAGTCCTTTGTTCTGGGTTTATTGCAAAGGGATTTAACCCTCCGCTACACGTACCTTCATTTCTAGTACAATCTCAAGTTAGTGTATAATCATTACCTAGCTCTATCGAATGTGCTTTAATCTTATCAGCTCTCTAATCAAAGATTAAAGGTTCGTAGCCGGCGCTACGTACAGGCTGAGATATCGACTTTGCCAGCCTCAGCCACGTATATGGTAGTATGTAACAAAGTCCTAATGTTGCACCTGTAGACTTACAGTATCTTCAGCGTATCAGAGTACTATCTTGAGTGATGCAAAGTAGCTCAAGATAGATGCCCAAGATAATTTTGAGGGGTATAATCTATTGATACTACTTGATGCACTTTATAATTCTCTTGCACTTGACACGTAGCCATACAACAGCTAAAATACGAGTATTTCGGGAGTCTGAAGCAAATAACATCACCTGGTACTCCTACTGCATAGTTCTTGTGTTGTCCTGTTGTAACACTTTGGGCTCCCTTCGTACCCGAAGATCAATCAACGTTCTGGCAATCGCGATAATTAATGGAGAACAGGAGACGCCGTGTGTTCGTATATATTGATTCATCTACCTACATTGGATGTGAAAAAGCCAGCCTTCTTCTTCGCCTGACAGCCTTCAACGAATCTCTAAAACAATTTGCAGCAAACTTTCAGACCATTCATCTACAATTATGTCGGAACGTGTCACTAGCCTTTCGGTGAGCAGAATTATAGCAGGAATCAATCATGGACAGATACTCATCATGAATTCATTAGCTCGGAGTTTACGATCAAGTAATTGCACTGTAAGTTCGCCCTTTTTCACTTTGAATTTTTCCAACTAATGATAAACTCCCCCAGAACTCAATACATGATTAACTCCGGCTTCGATGCAGCCTATACAGTCGCAACCTCAGGTGATGACTCGCCTCAAATCCCACTCGATCTCACGGATCGACTTGGTATTGGCCTTGGAAACATCACGTAAGAAATCCCAATGCATACAATTTAAGTTGATTGTCTAAATTCTTCGCAGGCTTGGAAGCCCCCGCTGCATAATCTCCACGGATGCGGACAACCATGGTATGGTTATTTACCGAATGCATATCACCGGAGGAACAGTTAGCTTATTCGAAAGCATGGATAAAACGGATAAAAGGCAGATTGTAATTTATATCGTTGTTTTCGATATTGAATGAGAAGTGGTCGTTAACATATTCATAGTTCTATCATATAGACGACTGGTTTTTCGCTTTTTCTGTGAATTTAGGTTAGCTAAATACAGAGATCAAATCGAGCTCAAGGGTTCAAGTGGTTGCTAACAAAATTCGCAGCCTTTCAAGGTGTTGATGAAACATCTGAGAAGTTCCAAGAAATTAGAACACAAATGGGTATGCCCGGGGATTATACTATCCAAACACTCCTCGTCGATATGAGTAGTAAGTAATGAATTTTCTGGCAAGAAAACAGAAATTGTCTCTTATCCTTATGCTAATTCTTTCTCATTACAGCCGCCCAATTTGGTAGCCCTCAAATGGGCATGTGCACTTTTGGGAATTGGTCAGCAGATGATTATATCATAGATGCAAACGGCGACAGACAAACACCACCCAATGCCGTACCTGGACAACCAAGAGATCCATCTTCCATGTGGTCTACCAGTATACGAGATCAATTTCAGATGCAATTGTCTAACCCACAGCTTCATAAGAAGCTCATGGATGCAGGCCTACAAGACCTTGGCTATAGCGCTACAGCAAAAAATATTGCTACTGGTATATTGTCTTCCGAAATCCAATAGAATCTATTTTCGCTGACTTGAAGTATAGCTGGTCACGAGCCGACTTTTCTTCCAACAAATTTGAGGTTTCAGACGATTCCCTGGTTTGACCCAGCGAACAGGTCGACTTATGTCCCAACTCCCGGGCTTACTGGCAAATCAGTTCTGAATTATCTTCTTTATTTAGAGACAACAGGCGATAACCCATTTCCACAAGGCGGCACGGAAGATACATTCCTTAAAGATGGCGAAGGAAACTGGACCGATGGAACTGATCCAGCTACTGACTCTCCTTCCAAATTTGGCACTATGGTTATCTCAAATAAAAATTTCATGGACAAGTTCTTCCTTCCGAAGATGAGAAAGTTGAATCGCTCGGCAGCTGTGAAGTTTGGTATGTACTCAATCTCTCAAACTCAGCCACCACGTCGGTTTAGCTGCTATTTCGAGATATATTCTTGTCGCGTCTTTCGATAGCTTTCAGGCAAAGAAGTGATGATAATTTCAACTTACTATTATCTAGACACTCTAACTATTCGGGTTCATCAGACCGCCTGGGTATTTTCTTATGATAACAAGATAACTTTCAGCATCAGTGTGGGTGATGGCGTCACCGCTTACAATGTCGTCGATTCGGGCGATGACACTTATGCATTCGCGTCACCGAAAGCCATATCTGATGGAACAACATGGGGAGCGACAGAATGGGCAGCGTTACCCGCCTTGGCATCAGGTGCCGTTCAATGGACCTTTACCAAAGATTTTGATGAAGTCCACAGCCATGATACTAGCGGTTCCTCCAGCATAGATGATACAATTGGAGATGTTTGGGGCCGTAGTTCAATTTGTTCGCGATTGTGGTTCGTCCCAGGCACAAACAAATTAACACTAGAATTACAAAACCATGTCTACGTGGAATGGAAGCTCAACCCCAACCGGGTTGACTCAAATCGTTACTGGTAGTAAGTTTTCCACCACTCAAACATATATTTGAATTACATTCCGTGCTCATGAAAACGAAT